CCTCCAGGCCCCCCTCCCCAGCCCCCCTGATGCTTGATGTGTGGGGCAGAGGAGGAAGGCTGGGGAGGTTGGAGCTGCAGCCAGGCTGTGCCACCAGCCAGGTCCCCAAGCTCAGCAGCCCCAAAGTGGACCTGGATCCAGTGTTCTCACCCCCAGGGGTGGCCTTGGGACTTGCTGGACTCACCTGGTGGGGACCTGCCCACCTTGTTCCTGTGGCCCCTTTCTCAGTCTGATCATCCAGAAGGAGAAAGTGCTTCATGGGGGAGCAGGACCTGGAGAATCCCATAGGATCCTGAAGGTTGGAAACGACCTTCAGGGTCATCAAGTCCCACCAGCAGAGCTGTGGTTTTAACTCTCAGTGCCCCAAACACAGAGGGGACTGGTCCCTGCTTTGATAGCACAGGGTGGGAACCAAGAGCTCAAGTGGCTTCTCCAAGGCCAGGGAGGACCAGGGGGGGCATTTTCCTCCCCAAGCCTCAGATAAATGAGGCCCATCATGGTGAAGGAAGGTGGAAAATGACTTATTTCAAGCCTTGCTGCTTCCTGGGGGAGGGAGGAGACCCCTGGGTGGTGACACAGCACGGGAGTGGGTTGCACCCTCCATGTCCCACCTGGCAGGGCAAGCACAGCCCCAACCTGCCTTGGGAGGTGCCACCAGTTCCACCAGTTCTCCCCTACCTGGTGTGTTCTGTCCCCAAGACCATTTTCCTCTCCCTTTTCCACCCTCCCAGGGGGGGTTTGCAGATGATCTACCCCGAGCTGGGCGACGTGAGCTGCTTGTACATCCCCAGGTGCCACCAGTACCAGAGGAGGCTCAGCAGGGAGTGGGGACCCCCCCGTGTCCTGTACCCCCAGGCTGCCCAGGTGAGTCCCCGGGTTGGGTGGCCTTAATTAACCTGCGGGTTAATTAGAGGTGGAGCCAAATCATGAGCAAGGCATTTGCTGGGCAAGGGTGACTTCCCATGTGGGTGCAACTTGGAGCTGAGCTGTGGGTGTCTGGGCTGGGAGCTCTGGTCCCTTTGGGGGGGGGTGTGGGGACACCCCAGGAGCAGGTGACCCTGGGATGTCCTGTTGTCCCCTTGGCTGGGCTGGGGCTGGTTCAGCTTCTGCTTCAAACCAGAGACACTTCATCTTGTTGCTTCAGGTTCTGCTTTTGGGGCTGAGTTGCCTGCAAAGCACCCCCAGATCTTTACCCCCTTGTAGCCCCCCCTGGTTCCCTTCCCCCC